TGTTGCCCATATTTTTGACGCATAAGTTGATTCTACATTGGAAAGTTCTTACAGTTGACAACAAAACCTCTCTCAAAATATTTTAACAAGCCAATCGAATGCGCTCTTTCATATTTTTTCTCTTTGTTGGAGAGTTGGAGGTTGAGAGTTAACATTTTTTAAGTATCCCCACAGGAAAAAATCTAGAGTTGTTAAATCTGGAGATCGCAAGCACCATTCAACAGAATCACTTCGTCATATCCATCTATTTGGAAATATTAGGTCCAAATATTCCTGTACTCGTTTACTCCAGTGTGCTTGTGCTTGTCCTGCTGGAACCATATACGTGCTCTAGTTTACAATGCAATGTTTTCAAGCAGTTCAGATCATTTTGTAAGAACTATAAGTAGTCTGTACCATGATCATCAAAAAAGTATGGTCCGATTAAGATACCATCAACAATGCGACACCACACATTCAAGTTCCAACGATCTTGGCGATCAATTTGTTGAAACCAATGCGGATTTTCAAGGGTTCAGAACTGACAATTATGTCGATATAGTTAGCGGTTACTATGAAATGTTGCTTCGTTACTAAATAAAACATGGTGGAAGAAATCCAGCTGTATAATCTTTCATGCCCATCTAAAAAATGTTATTTTCCATTGGAAATCACCCATCGTTAATTGTTGCGTTAACGTGTTATGATACGGATGAGTTATAAAAAGACAATGTTTTTTGAGCAGTATATTTAGAGATATCTAATTCTCTCACAATTTATTGTAAACTAGCATGCGTATTCATATTTAGGTAACCCAATACTGCTAATACTTGCGCATCATCTCTTTCAAACATATTCACTTTATACTGTCTTCTATTTGAAGGTATATATCGTTGACGAACTAAAATTTTTGCAATCTGACGATTACTTGGATATCTGCTGTGTGGAAAACGTTAACGATATAAATTTGCTACTCGACAGTAGTTGCCTTAATAATCGCCAAGTATAAGAACGATGCCAACGTATTCCGTTTAATTATAGTCTAGCTAATTAAAATGATTGTTCTAGATTGTCCTGATAATCACGAAAAAAGAGAAAAAAGTATAGAAATCATTTTGATTTTCAAGAAAGCATAAAAAATCATTTAGACAGAAATTATTCATTTTTCAGAGAAAAATCACATACAGTCTCTTTATTATTCAGCGAAAAATCACACACAGCAATAAAAAAAACACATTCCATTTATAGAAACCGATTTACCTTGATATTTTGTACTTTATTTTATTCGAAGGTACTATCGAAAGTAATTTACATGCTGCAACGGTAGTCGATTTAATTAATCGAACCGTTCGCGATTCTGCTTCTCGCGTGTTAGTTCGAACTATTGAGAGAGAGACGGGGCGCGCGATCATTGAATAAGCAGTTACGCCTCAGCTGTTTACGCGAGTTTACCGCCGATTTGTGTTTTGCACTTTGATTCGCAAAAATAATAAGTTTTCTCTGGGACAAATACGTGGGGGTGTGCAACGACGATATGGCAGCAGCAAGCAGCGGTATAGAAGCAGCAGGTAACAGCTGATAGAGGAAATATAAGGCGGAGCAGCTGATAATTGAGGAGCAGCGGCAGTTGAAATTTTACAACAACAATTACGGCTGATCACCGTAATTGCACCGCATGGTAGGTGCACCTCCCGTCATATTAAGCGATACAAAATACTTTCGGTATTTTGTATATTCGAGATAGCGATATTTTTTATATTCGCGCCGAGCATTAGTTCGCGGTAATATTCGAATCTTCTCTCTCTCTCTTTTTCACCGAACATAATTAAATTGTAAAATCCTATTTTCGTGCGTCAGTCTTTCGGCCCAACAAAGACTGTAGTGATTTTTTATTAATTAAAGTCTGTTAAATTTATTCGCCGTTTTCGTCATTTGATTTTCCTGGTAGCTTAAGTATTTGAAACAGGCTTAGGTTTTAATCCAATTACATCTAGGGGATTAAGAAGATTAGGAGTAAAGTCGCTCACACTTAAAACTCATCAAGTGTAACAAGACACGTGACTTAAGGTGAGTTCAACTCTGATCGATTGAAGACAACTAGGATAAATCATCTGACGTTAAGGCGAATACACGTATTATCATACGTGTTTAACGGAGCGGCGGTTTGCTCTGCATCGTGGGAGTTTCTTCTTAAATAAATTTCCCATTTTCAGATTTATCTCCCCCGTTACAATGCGTACTTTAAAACGGAAAAAATAAATAATAGTTTTAGTAGCGATGAAATCCACAGTTATCATCCGACTTCTTCCCTAATATCTCGAACTTAGGTAATTTTTTATGTCGGCCTTTCAAGAGCAGTTACTCTAAATTGAATGTTGAACCTAAGTGAATCACTCTAAATTGGATGTTAGACCTTAAAATGATTAAATTTCGTAATGAATCATACTGTATTAAAATTACTAAATTTGAAATGCGAAAATTTAGTTAGTAACATGAATTTTGATGAAAATGGAAAAAATCAATGCATATCGAATAAAACAGAAAAAAATAACTTTAAATGCAAAATTAAATCAACTGAACGTAAAGCAAGTGCAGAACTCGAAATTAAATAACTACAAATCACTAAAGTTTATTAAAAAATGTTTTTCGGATTTTAACTTTAATTTAACCTTGGTATCTGACCTTCTTAATATTGTTTCGATCGTAAAGTTTCGCACTCTTTTCGAATGCGGTATTAAATATTATAGGGATTACCATTAAAAAAAATTACTTTGACTTTCATATGATCTTGAAATTGAAATTGAAAATCAATACTGACATGACATGTAGATGACCCCCGCTGTTCTGCTTTAAATGAAACATTTATTATGCTTTAAATGAAACATTTATGCAACTTTTTTGCACGGTATTTAATCAAAAGGAAATAGTTATATAACAATAAAAAATAGCGTTTATCGAGGATATCAATGGATGCTTTTAATAGTATAACGGATAGGTAAGCCGCCATTTTGATCATATCAAAAGACCATTTGTTGAGAAAAAATTGGAAATGATATATCAACAATTCTACTAAATAAAATACTAAAATTCAACACTAAGTCTTTATTAAAAGTTAAAATATCTTTCTCATCAAATTTTGAAAGTAAATACTCTTAATATTTTAACTTTATTATTCTGTGAGATGTAGCCTATTACAAAATTTTTATCTACAGAGTACTAACATCAAGAAAAATAAAAATGTCATTTTTATGTGATTCTTATATGTTTCGGAATTAATAAAAATAGTGTCATTTTGATTTCAAAAAATTATAATTCTACTGGTTACCATACTTTGAAAGCCACATTTTGGTTTATTTATTCTTACATTTGCAGAATTTTGAAAACGGAAATTGGGCCTGTTCGCATACATTAAAATTTTTATAGTATTTAATTGTATGATGATGCTTCATTAATTTTTAAACCTTTAAATCAATTTCTTAGCAGAAGTAAAATCGAAGTAAATTATCTGACATATATCACCCGTAAAATTTGAATTTAAAATTATTGTCATTTTATAAATTTTTATTCTAAATTATGATAAATAATCATGTATTGTTATGTTATAATAGATTTAGATCTTTTATAAACAGAAAAGAATATTACGGGAAATCCTATTTATGGGCCTAATTTGTTAGTTTCAAATATCCTGTAAAAAGAAAGAATTAGAAGTGTGTAACTTACTTGAAATTTTTAAAAACTCATGCTGAATTAAAGAATTTTTCTCCATGAAGATACTCATATATTTCAGAACAAGTTTTCTATGATTTCTTAGACTGAAAGCTTTAATAGTTAGCAAGATATCGCATTTAAACAATCTATGATTTTTTTCAACTGTTGATCATATATAGTAATTAAAATTTTGATCTAAATCTGAATTAAAAGATATATTGATTTCTGTATAGAAAACAAGTATACTATATTTGAGAACTAATCGGTAGTTTGATATTATGGGGTGATTGAACTAACGAACGAAAGTTTTAATATAGATATGACGATGTCGTCATTGAAGAATTTCATCACAAATATTTGTATAAATAGTTTTTAATAAAAATTGAATGATAAATGGCCGAAAATAATTTATTTCAATATTATTATATGTCAAACCTAATTTAAAATTTTAGTTTGTAAAACAACTTTAGAAACGACTACTCTATACGAGTATATTGGCCATCAATCGGCTAAGGAATGTATTGCGCTTAAACTAATTTAAATATGAATTTGTCGAAAATAGTGATTCTAGTGAACTTTCATACTTCAGGTAATAATTAATTATCAGCTAACAAAATGAGGTTAGAAGAATAAGGTAATGAGATTCAGTAAGAAAATGAGGTTCAATCGACTAATTAAATAAATCGAATAAGATTAATAATTAATTATATTCACGAAAAATGAAGTCAGGTAAAGTTACTATGGAAATAAACACACGAAATAAGCACATTAGTGCTGAACATGAAAATTACCTCATTAGCCGATGTCCACTCATACAAAATGAATCGACTATGCGACCTTGATTTTCAACTATGGCCATATCGCTTAGTAATTGAAAAATTATAGTAATCATTATACGTAACAGAGTTTTCATTGCTATTATATAAAACAGGTTAGTATTGAATTTATCATTAAAAAACTTTTTTGTTGAATTTTTCACAATGATCGATGTGTTGTATATTCATTTTGAATTATTTTTAATTTCCCATTTGATGCTTTAAGTTATAATTAGAAAATGGTACGTAAAATCTATCAAATCTTATTTAATTATATTTCTTAACTCTTATTCAGGTAAAAATAATCGAATTGTGCAAAAGAAAATACTATTATGCGCACTTGTCTAATATCATATAATAATTATGCATCATTATTTTTATTGATTGTTGTCTATTCGATGTGGACAACAAGCATCTCGTTTCAGCAATTATCATCCATTTTTTATTAAATACTTTTCAGAAGGAAATGCCCGTAAAATGTCAAACAATTACGCTTACCTTTAAACGTTCAAGTTCTTCAGGAGTGTGATTAGTATTTGTAACAGAAGTGAGTCTATTTTTCACAAGTTGGTTAGAACTGACGTTTTTTTTATAGGGACTTGCAGATAAGCTCGGTCTGATAGTCATTTGTGATACTGTAGAAAAAGCGATTGAAATTATGCGTTACTTTTACATTCAAAAATCTAAATATACAATAAATTTATAGGAATAATCAACCTCCATGTTTCTGCTGTGCTGGCGTTGATGGCGCTGATTGGGGCGGTGGCGCAGGAACGCTAAAACTTTTGAGTGGGTGGCCTTGGAGTCGTTTATTTGTTCCACATGTGGTTTCCGAAATCGCTGTAGAAGTATTAACCATTTGAGAATTTTCTTCATATGAGTTCGGTGGATACTGCGTCGTTGCATTATAAGACTGTATTCCTCCCGAACTGTACAACTATACATTTATTCAAAATATATTTAGATATTATTTTTATTAGATGTTTGATAACACTACCGATTATTACATTACTAACTTGAGTCTGAAGAGGTTCGTATGTACTTATTAAGTTACATGAATCAGGACTGGATTCTGGAGTCGGTTCCAGCGTTATATGTGCTCGACTCAAACTATACTGTGCCACTGTTCGGGGATAGTTTGCCCTTATTGAAGGTACATCCGAGCATGAACTATGAATTGTTTGTTGTGAAAGGCTACTGTTTACTATCGGTGTTGCCGTTGCTATTGCTGTAACAAATAGTCTGCTTAGCATAATTAAACGTAAATTATGTTAGACCACAATAATTAAAAATTTGACAAATACATGCGTACAAAGGGAAATACATAAAACTAATATGGGTTTTATGTAAAATAATCCTAAAGTAATTGACTTTTTAATAATATGCTGAATGTGAATCAAGTGTCAAAAGTGTCCATCCCTCTTCTTATTCTTTATTATTCTTAAATTACTCATAATGATAAACTATTCAAGTTTTTTCTTTTTCGCGTCTTTTTTTCTTATTTATTTTAATGCATGAATAGATCGAAACTTTTATTAGCGAAATGGAAAATTTGAAAATTCAATATGCATTAAATATTGCTATAATTTGAAATGAGTTATAACCGATATATTATTTGTTAGTAAATAAATATGCAATTATGTTAACAGTTGATACTTATGATTTTCAAAGGCTATGAATCAAGTCTCAAGTTTTTGTCATTCAAGTTCTGTTTTGGAAAATAATCAAAAAGTTTTAAAAACACAATAAACAATATAATACAAGTACTAAAAAAGTTATAGTTTTATTTAATCATATAAGGTATCCTTGATGATGTTGATAAGAGACTGGTACACATTCAACTTTGTATTACAACGCATTTTCAAACAATTATTCTAATATTTACGCGACTAAATAAGTCGAAGTAACTGTACAATATTTTATCGAGATAATCTATCAAATTATATTTTTTCGTTGCCTATTTCATTTATTCAAAGCTAAACTGTCACACAGAGCAAAGTTGAATTAATAGGTCTATGTAGGTATCAATTGGCTTTCATTTCGAGGTTAGGTAATCAAATGCATGTTTCTTTTTTTTCTCCGTAATAATACATAAAAATAACTTGAAGACATACGAGGTGTGATCAAAAAGTAAGGTGAATTTTGAAATTTAGCGGGCTACGTCCGTTCGATCTTCGACTTTTTTATTTGGTTATGTCGGTACACTCGTCTAGAACATACGTTCCAAATTTCAGCTTTGTAGTATGTTTGGTTTGTTTGTGAGAGGCATCAAGGTTAGAAGTGTTTTGCGTGCTCCACGATTTGCTGCTGTCTAAAAACATGGATCAAAGAGTTTGCATTAAATTTTGTGTGAAAAATGGAATCAAATGTTCCAAAACACTTGAAATGCTGAAAGTGGCATACGGTGAGTCTACTTTAAGCCAAAAAATTGTTTACAAGTGGTATAAACTCTTCCAAGAAGGCCGAGAAGACACCGACGACGAACCTCGTTCTGGACGCCCCAGCACATCAACAACTGATGAGAATGTTGAAGAAGTGAAGAAAATAGTGTTGGGAAATTGTCGAATTACCATTAGAGAAATTGCTGATGATATTGGCATCTTATTTGGTTCGTGCCAATCTATTTTGACGAGTGTTTTAGACATGAGACGTGTGTCAACGAAGTTTGTTCCGAAATTGCTCAATTTCGACCAAAAGAAACGTCGCATGAGCATCGCCCAAGAGCTACTGAATGACGTCAACGATGATCCAGATTTACTCAACAGGGTTATAACAGGTAACGAAACATGGGTATACGGTTATGACGTCGAGACTAAGACTCAATCGTCCCAGTGGAGGCATTCTGGATCACCAAGACCAAAAAAAGCACGCCAAGTTCGATCAAATGTAAAGGTTTTGCTTACAGTTTTCTTTGACTGCAGGGGCGTGGTGCATCATGAGTTCTTGCCACACGGTAGAACAGTAAATAAGGAATATTACCTGCAAGTTATGCGCAATTTGCGCGAAGCAATCCGCCAGAAACGTCCGAATTTGTGGAAAAATAAAAATTGGCTTTTGCACCATGATAACGCCCCTGCTCACACATCGTTGCTTGTGCGCGAATTTTTGGCTAAAACCAACACAGTAACGATGCCACAGGCACCGTATTCCCCAGATCTGGCACCCTGTGACTTCTTCTTGTTCCCAAAACTGAAGAGGCCCATGAAAGGACGGCGTTTTGCCACGATTGAGGAGATAAAGACGGCATCGAAGGATGAACTAAACAAGATCACAAAAAATGATTTTTTGAAATGCTTTGAGGATTGGAAAAAGCGTTGGCATAAGTGCATTATATCCGAGGGGGATTACTTTGAAGGAGATAAAATAAAAATTGATGAATAAATAAATATTTTTTGAGAAAAATAAAAATTCACCTTACTTTTTGATCGCGCCTCGTATGTTTAATTGTTAATGATTACATCATTCATATTAAATTCATATCAACTATACTGATACACTTTACGAACTTTTAATTGTCTACATGGATATGCAGTAATTTTTTATAACTGTATATACAATATATACATCCCAAAATAGTTGATCACGTGACTGTCTTTCGGCTAATCATAACTCGAATAAAAACGCTTTACTTTTACCCGGTTTTCTTTTTTAGAAGGAGATTCATTTACTGTGTAAAATAATTTTTGTGAAAAACATCTTTCAGAAAAACTTTAATAAAATATAGACATTAAAAATGTATAAATGCCCATAGAGTTAGAAAAAATATTTTTTTGCAATATGATTTGGAAGGATATTCTACGAATATTTCAGAGAGATTGATATACTTTAAGTATTTTTTTCACTGAAATATATGCACGTAATAGATAGAATTTTGGTGTTTTCTTTCTGTGTAATCATGTATGAACGGTTATGGATTCTTCCGAAAATTACTTTTTCCCAATTTTTCTGAAAAGGATCTCCCACGCTAATTGTTGAATAACGTGAATACATTGATGTATAAATCAGCAACTTTTTAAATCAAAATATGGGACGCCATATGCAGATATTTTTCATATTTTTTTAGAATATGAGATGGCTACCGACGCAACTATTTGAAGAGGCAGTTAAGAACTTGTCATTAGTATAAAAAATAAGGTTTCGAGATGTAGAACTTAATTTTGAAAATTTCGAAGAAGTCATTTTTTTTTTATTAAATTTAGAGATCTCTTCTCAAAATTTGGGTTACACATTACTTTTTATAAAAATGTGTGAGCAATGAAATGAGGATCGAAAATCAGTAAATTATTCTAAAATAATATGATTTAGAATTTGTTGCAGTAAACATAACTTAGTATGCGTTTCCCTTTATAATCACGAATTTGTTCAATATTAAGTAATTCTAGCTTAATGTTTAACGCTCTTCTATCTTTGATAGGCAGTTAGTTTAGAGCTTACGCGTGTGACTTTGCAAAGTTATTTGATTTTTTATTTATTTTAATTCAAGCGATAACTGATTACTTACGTTGGTGTAGAGGCGCGTTATCGACAGGAAGTGTAATGAGTTTAGATTTATGACTTCCTCTACAGTATTGTCTACTCAATACAGAGCATTTCTCGTCAGCATTACCTAACCATAGGTAAATAAACAAAACCAAAGTTTTAAATAAAATAATTCCTATAAAAACTAACGAACTGTTACGATAATAGAATTAAATTAATTTAATTCTTAAAAAGGATAAAAACAACGTTATAATGCTTGTTTTTATGTTATGACAATAACATAGATTGATGTGTTTTAATAATAATAATATATGCGATACATTGGAATATAGTAAACACTATATTCCTATTTACTCAAATCAATTTGTAACTATGTCGTCACTCACCCATATAACTTGGTATATAAGTACGTTTGTCGAGTGAACTGGAATTTACATGAACGTTATCCTGATTATATTCGGAGTTGCCAGACCTCGGTAAAGTGTTGCTAGTAATTGCATTTAAGGACGTTTCTCCATTGGCTATGTTTTTCTCTAAAGCCTTCAATTCCATTTGGTCATGATGAATCCACAGATCTGGTGGTTTTATATTAGTCTTTATATTAGAATCTTTAAGATATCTGAAACAAATGAATTCAACAAAGTGGGATAAAAGTAAATTTACCAATTAATTAAAATGTAGCACGTCTTACCCCTTTTTTGTATCTTCCGGATTTGGATTCCGTCGGCAACAGATAAATAGAAAAATAACGGATACGGCAGTCAATACTAATATGAAGCAACCAATAATAATATAAATTAGCATACTTGACCAGCCTTGGCCACTTAAAGCTGAAATATAAAATTTAGTTTAATTCTATGAGCAATTAAATTTTAGAGAGTTTTAAGTTCTTTTAACTAATATTTGTAGCTATTTTTCTTAATTGCATACTTGTAGGAGTCTTATAAGCTATTGTTGTGGAAAAGGGCCCATATCGATCTTTCGTATGCCGGGCTTGAATCCTGAAGTAGTAAGTAGTGTGCGGCTGCAAATCTGCCGTCAGTACATATTCTGTTTTGTCGCCTACTACAGCCGTGGCTTTCCATTCTCTATCAATTTTAGTATTGTCGGTTGTATACGATATAACATATCCATTTATTTCGCCATTTGCTTGTTTTGGCGGTGTCCATCTTAGCAAAACTGATTTTGGATGATTATCAATCCCTTCTACCTTTAAATCTTGAGGAGTTGAAATTAACTCCATAGTTTTATTCATAACAACCATGCTCCACGGTGATTCTCGGCGACCCTGAGGATATAGGAATTAAAATATGTTAAGTAGATCGCAAAATACAGTGACTTATCTACTTATATTTACTTTAACGGCTTTAACAGTGAATTCATGTTCTGTATTTGGTTTCAAATCTTGAATTGTACAATGTAAATCAGTTGCATTGAAATATTTATAACGTTGAATGCTGCTTCGATGATATGATGTATAGCGTACTACGTAATAGCGATTATCCGTAATGAACTATAGAAAAAATTTCGTTAGTAATCGAATTTTACAAAAAAAGCAAAGAGGAATGGACATTTACTTGATTTTTAGGGAGCGTCATATCTGTCCAATGAAGTACCACTGTAGTAGGTGACATGACGATAGCTTTCAAACCAACTGGAGGTGTTAATGGTGCAGGGCTCTCAGTCATTGGCATTTTCTCTATCGTTCTCACATTTTCATACACTTGTATACCCTCGCCAGCTTCATTTTTTGCTCGAAGTGTTATTACATATTCTGAATTAGACTCTAAGTTTTCAATTGTGTAATAGCGCTGCTTATCATCCAAGACCTTGTTGTACTCATCAGGAATCCCTTTACCCCATGTAAGAACATATCCCCGCACTTTGATACTCTGATCTTTGGGTGGACCCCACCAAACTAGTATTGAATCAGACATTGCTTTGACTAGAAAAAAAAACCAAATGTTTGATTTATAAATAGAATAGTATATGAATAAAATAGAACTTCGAAAGATAAAAATTACAAAATATTAGAGGAAAAGTTTCTTACTTCTCAAGTTTGTAGGTGAGTTTGGTACAACACTTTCGGACAAATCACTTTCATGGGTTTCGATTTCCGACCAATCAGACCAAGGTCCAGTCCCGTTGACATTGAAAACACACACTCTTACTTGGTATCCCACGTTTTTCTCCAGCCTATTAATTACATACATATGTTGGTTGCCTTCAGTCGTCACTACTATAGGATGACTGCGACGATTAGTCGGACGATAACGGATTTTGTAACCGATTATTATACCATTCAGGCCATCTATTGGGGGCTCCCATCTCACGATGATGCTCGTAGCACTGACTGCTTCTAAAGTAACATTAGGAGAATTACTAGGAGCAGCGCTAAATGTTCGGACTTTGAGCTCGCCAGTTGAAGCACCAGGTCCATTTTCATTTACACCCTGTACCCACACACTATACTCTCGGTAGGGTTTTAAATTAAACAATTCATGAGTGGTGCTATTGGTACCAACTGTACTCTCTTCACTATCTCCGTGCGCATAGGTGACAATGTAGCTGAGAATTTGGCCATTAATTGAGATTGGTTCGTTCCAGCTAAGCGCTATACTTTCGTGACTAGTAGGCCAACCTTTAAGTTTAAGTGGATGACTCGGCACGTTGGGCTGCAAATTTTACAGAAAAGCTATTACTCAAAGCGTACAATAAAATTGATATTGAATGCAAGCATCTATACCTCAGATTCAGTAGTAAGCCGAATAACATTACTAGAAGCGCTTAAAACGTTAGAAACGTTAGCGACTGTACGGAATATATAGTTTGTTCCAGGCTGCAAAGAGTTAATAGTGACGGTGGTTTCTTTCATAGTCGTCCTCTCGATCCTTTCCCTAGAGGAAGATCAGAAAAGGAAGTCGGTTATTACCAATGAAAAGATAAATTGAAAGAGAATGATAGAAATATTTGAAAGAGAGTGATACAAACCTCTCAAATCCATCTTGTCGGTAGTAGACTAAATAGTTGGAGACGTCAACTTCATGTGGCTCTTTCCACATTAACGTTACGGAACGAGTGCTAACAAAGGCTGCGCTAAGATTTCGAGGAGCCATGGGAACGCTCAAGCTTTCACCCACGTTTAAACCATCTTGAGAGTCTGCAACAACCGGTTCGTAGGAAAATGGACGGACAGCGAAGGGTTCAATGAGTAGGTCAACAGAGTCATCGGAGGTGGGGATTGACAGTGGCGGTTTGAATGTGTATGCAGATGAAGTGTGCCCAAGTAAAGTGCTTGGATGCTGCCATGTACTATTGGATAATAGTTGCTGCACCCCCAGCCGCCGCCTCGTCGAAGACCCACTTCCTTTGCGCCCATAAAATTCATCACCTCCTTTCCGTTCTTTCTCTTTTTTAACATGCAGCAAAGTAAAGAACACAATCGCGGGACAACATCAAAGCAAGTCAACGATCAGCATCGAGAAAGAAAAAAAATAAAACAACAAACTGAAAATTTATTTTATATAAACCAAAGTTAATCAATGTAAAGTGCACAAAATTTTACAAATATAAAATAAATACGAATTTCTACTGTAATTGATTACTATAATAGCCATAATGAGATATGTAATATTGGACGAATGACAATACGAATTTCTATAATTGAAATACTTACTGAGTTGGTTGATAATGAGGCGAGCAGAAGCCTGTACACTGCCTGCCGAATTTTTAGCCATACATTGAAAGATGCCTGCGTCAATACTGAGTAAACCGTTTATTCGTAAGTTGTACCTAAAAAATATTTTAAATGAAGAGAACTCTTGTAACACTATATTTTTTATATGCTAATTTGGGCGAAAGATACTATAAGGAATTTGATATGGAAACACATGGGATTTCAATGTATTTTCTACAGAATCTATGTGGACAAAAAATGAATTAGACAAAAATCCCGTATTAGATCTCTATGAAATTTTCGATTTCCGTAACAGATCATATATATTTATATAATTATCTGCATTATACACGAATCTTGTTTCAACTAACGAGGTTTGTCTAAAAAATATCGACCCTACTTTCATATTTCTGCATTAAAACTTTAGAGCAACTTCTGTGGAGCATGGGTGTCACTATTAAGTCTTCACGAACTCATTGGTGTACGTAGTTCGCGACTGAACGTATTAGTTTGTGAACGGCGTGCGTTTGTTTATAGTGTTTTTTGCCTTTGTTGCAGTTCGTCATTCGAAAAAATGAAGGAAAAATTAGATCAACGAATTTGCATAAAATTTTATTTTAATCTTGGAAAAACTAGTTCAGAAATAATTAATATGATATATGAGGTATTTGGTCAGGAGTGCATGAGCAAAACAATAACAAAAGAGTGGTAAAAGCGATTTAAAAATGGCCGTACGGCAGTTGACAGTGATTCTCGTTCTGGTCGATCATCGAGCGCAATAACACCAAAAATATCGAGCGTGTGCGACTTGCAATTGAAGAAGATCGTCGATTGACTGTACGCCAACTAGAAAGTGATCTTGGAATATTAAAAACTATTGTTTCGAAAATTTTAACCGAGGATTTGGTAATGGGTCGCGTGTGTGCGAAATTCATGTCAAAATTGCTAACGGCAGATTAAAATAATCTTAGCGTTAAAATCGCTCAGAACAACAGGAAATAGTTTCTCATAATGAAAATGTACTTAAGAAGATTCATACTGGTGATAAGTCATGGATTTACAGCTACGATCCAAAAATAAAGTAACAGTCTTTACAGTGGAAGCATTCTAAATCGCCAAGACTGAAAAAGCACGTCAAAGTTGGAGCAAGGTGAAGACAATTTTGACTATTTCCTTTGATTATGAAGGTTTTGTACACCACAAATATGCTCCGAAAAGTCGTACGATTACTAAAGAATACTACGTTGAAGTATTAAAAAGATTATGTGACGCAGTCAGAAGAAAATGGGCACAGCTTTGGTCAAGCAGTGATTGGCTGCTTCACCATGACAATGCACTGGCCCATTCATCGCACTTTGTGCAATAATATTTGACAAAGTATTAAGTCGTATAGCTTGGCCAGCCTCGACGTAGCTCCCTGCGATTTTTGGCTCTTTCCCAGATTAAAAATGCCGCTTTAACGACACCGGTTTCATGACAAAGAGACGGTTGAAACAAATGCGACGAATACCTTAACCCATTAAGGACGGGACGGACACTTTTTCGTGTCCAACTTCAAGCTACCACCAAGCCAATAATTTAATTGCAAAAAAATTCGCGAACCACCGTTTCCTATGTTTTGGAGTATGTTCTTTCCGATTATGACACTTAATTTTTTCTAAAATGAGTTTTTTCATGTAAAATTTGAAAATTAAAAAAAAAAAGCACTGATTTTTTGGAAAAAAAAAATTTTGTGATCGAAATTTGTTTGCCTTTCGATTTTTTTATGGGCTTAAAATTCATAAAAAAGGTGTCCATGATACCTTAACTAAAAAATATCGGCCCTACGAAAACCCAAATATATATATTTTTTAATAAATTTGCGTAAATAAACAAAAATTTCATTCACTAACTTCACCGATTTTTATCTCGAAAACTATCGACTTTCATGAAAAATTTATAAGAACAAAAAATGCTTAGAATCAGTCAAGGAACACGTCTGAATTTTTTCAGATTTTTGGGCACCATTTTTGGTTTTTTTCGAAAAAAAAAAAACTCGCCAGCGAGTGCGCGCTGTGACCGAGAAAAAGAGAGAGGAGAGCTCGCCGCACCACAGCGAGTCTTCGGGGACAGATCGTCCAGCGCCACCCGGACACCGTGGAAAGGCGAACGGGGCGATCGGTCAACGAGAGCGCCCAGGAGCCCGAAAAACCACCAGCTGCAGCGTCATCCCCGAGGTCGACCTTCAAGCGAGCGAAGTAAGCCACCCCATTGTATGCGAGCGTGCGAGTTTAGAAACGCGGACTCGTCGTTGATCTCTCTCTCTCTCGCGGCGATTCGAGCGTCAATGAGAAGCGTAAAATCTCTCGGCTATCTACTTTCGGCAATCATGTCAGCTTCCCGTAAATAAACGACCGATTTGTGATATTCAAGATTAGCGCACGCTGTCATTATTTATTCCCGTTAGCGGCTCTTTCCCCTCCTTCGCCCGTGAAAGAAATCCACGGCTCTGCCTTTGTTTCCCGCAAATTCGCGCCCGTTTGCAGGCAGCGCGTCCGAAGTCGCAATAGCAGCCGACAAGAAGCAGCAGCAGCCAACAGGCCGCAGATCCGGGCAGCGGTGAACCCAGTACCGGCGGATAATACGGCGCTGTGCCGAGGACGTACGGCTGCCCAATAAATCCGATAAATTTCTTCAACGGCCTTTCATTTAAACAATAAACATATACCGTTACAAAAGGTAGGCTCGATACTTTTGGGACAAACCTTGTATATAAATGAAAAACATTGCCCTGAGATCATATTAATTATTTTTCGTTTGTTTTATTTTAAGCTTTCCAATTATATAAGGATTTATTCGTGTAATAGTGAATGTAATAGATATAAAACTTATTTATTTGAGGTCGAAATTTTAATATATTTTCATATCACAGTAGTAAATTTTAATCTATGGTGGTCAGAGAATTTCCTCTGAATTATAGATATAAAAATCACCATTATTTTAAAAACTTAATTAGTACAAGAAGATAATCAATATCAGCAAGTTTATTGAGTAGAATTTGATTGCGTTCATTAGAAAATTCTCCTTTGATATCAAAAAATTTCGTGAAGATTTTTACATGAAGTACTTTGTATAGAAATTGTCAAATTTACTATTTAGTATCATTATACCCCAGACATCATAGTGAAACAGAATTTCACTACTTTCGTGTAAGAGACTAACAGAAATAAAGTAGGAAGAATCAATAATAATAATAAACAACTTCAACACTAAAGTAAGGGCATAAACAGAAGGCCCTCATGATCACAGAAACAACCTGTTAGAAGAAATGTTGACAACATTAAACTTAGTAATGGTGTGCACAATACGATTACACAGTTTTGAAAATAATTACATCGTGGAAAATTCTGCAAGAGCGGTAAACGACATAGTCAATAACTATAGCAAGAAAATAATAAACAGTACAAAATAAAATAAAGTTAGTGCTTATCATAAATGAATTACGTAGTATTCCTAAGATTCATTAGCAATAAAGTAAATCTGGAGATACAAACAGCGAAATAAGTAACAGAAATCATCTTGTGTTTTATTCCATCATTCAATGGAGGCTTGCAATGAGTTAATGCTACTTATGCTAACAAAGTACGACTGAAAATCAACTTCTTGGTGGAACGAAGAACTAAATGAACTAAGAAGGAGGTATAATACACATTGTCGGATACACCACCGATTATGAAGGTCCAACTGATCGAATGCGGCAGAGGCGTACGATACCCGTAAACAGGCCAAAAATATTCTGAAAATTCCGTGTAAACAGTAATTTAAATTAATGAATGGGAGTTGTAAGACATCACCAAATTGATCAAACGAGATACTTGGGGCTTGGCTGACAAAATAGTGATGTTCCGAATGACAATGGGACCCTACGGAGGCTTGAGAAACTAATGTTCCCAAAAGATGAACAACGGATTAGTTTTCTGAATGGAACAAATAGCAGAGCAAAAAAATCATTCATTTTGCATAAAATTAAGACTGCAGTGAGCATATTAAGAACTCGGAAAAACACATAGAAAGACTCCCCAGATGCTATGAATGGTTATGCAAATGGTTATAACTGAGAAAACTCTTTTTCGACTAGATGGAATAAACATAAACTAGTTCTTATATTGAAAGATATATCAGGCACGGAGGTTAATCCATTATCATGACGACTGAGGATGAAAGACTTGATGGGTAACTTTGAAAGAATAATACCATATCTTCTAATAAATGCAGAAAAAAGTCTAGGAGGTGTTCTATGAACTATCAAACTGTGGAGGGTATTCTACTATCAAAGCATTGGATGTCGAAATTAGCTGTTAGCTGGGAGCACATCTACAAATCTCTTGAAGAATAAAAGAAGATGCCATGCTATTTATTGAAAATATTAGACAAATATTTGATAGACGGAAAACTTGTGTTAGTAACCAAGAGCAGTAAAATAATTATCAACTTATCGGTGGAAGTGCTATAGAGATCGTTAAAGGTCTCGTTATTTTGAATTTGCGTGTATGATGAACTACTGAGATGTTGCTTATATGAAGAACAGACTGATATGCTAAGACAACAACAATTCTAAATTACTAATCTCCAAAAGAAAGAGTGTGGAGTGACGGGTATAAAGCAATCAAGGAGGGATTAAATAATGATCAGAATAGATCCTACGAAGTAATACTGAAAAGGAATTTCAGTCGGTGCTTGTTGTCATTCGGACCTATCAGTCATCTCAAGGTAGCTGACGTCCGATGGAAAAAATAGATATATAAACACACATGAGCACACACACACACACACACACACACACACACACACACACACACACACACACACACACACACACACACACACACACACACACACACACACACACACACACACACACACACACACACACACACACACACACACACACACACACACACACACACACACACATTCATAGTCGCGATAATATTATTTTGTTGTCTACGTATTAATGACATCAGAAAATATATTTAATAAATTTTTATTAATGTGTGTAGAAGATTAAGATTTAATAAAAAATCAAATTTAAAAATCAAAACAAAAATAAAAAATTCTGAATAAAAGCGAAAAGGAAGCTTTTAAGGAAGCAAAATTCAACTTTATTACCTTTCCTGAAAAAGTGAACAAAACGTTAAGTTTTCACGTCTCACGATGTATTTTTGCATATTTCCAACTTCTAACATTGCACATAAAAAATGTAGTATACTTTCGCAAGAAATCATTAAACTTTCATGAACTCTCGCTATAAGCGAATGCACTACGAAATGAAACGTCGTACTCAGCGAAGTACGATGTAGCAAGCGAGTACTACCTAAATTGTAAATATCGAAAATGATTGATAAAATACAAAAGCTATAAAAGCCTTTGCAGCTCAATTCGTAAGAATTCAAGTCTAATACTGTACCTTAGATCTACGAGGTGTGTTCAAAAAGTAAGGTGACTTTTCAAATTTCACGGGCAACGTACTTTCGATTATCGATTTGTTTGTTTTGTTATGCTGGTACACTCTTCCCGAACATCTGTACCAAGTTTCAAGTGTATAGCATTTTTTGTTTGGTTGTGAGAGGCGTAAAGGTTATAAGTGTTTTGCGTGCTCGGCGATTTCTTGCTATCGAAAAATATGGATCAAAGGATTTGCATCAAATTTTGTGTAAAACATAAAATAAAGTGCTCCGAAACACTTGAAATGTTGACGGTGGCATACGGTGAAACTGTTCTGAGTAAAAAAAATGTTTACAAGTTGTATAAACTCTTCCAAGATGGCCGGGAAGATGCTAATGACGAGCCTCGCTCTGGACGCCCAAGCACGTCAAGCAGTGAAGAAAATTGTTCTGGAAAATCGTCGAATCACTATCAGAGAAGTTGCTGAGGATGTTTGTATATCGCTTGGCTCGTGCCATGAAATTTTTTCTAACGTTTTGGGCATGAGACGTGTGTCAGCGAAGTTTGTTCCTAAATTGCTAAATTTTGACCAAAGGAACCGTCGCATGAGCATCGCTCAAAAACTGTTGAATGACGTCAACGACGACCCAGATTTATTCAAAAGGGTCATAACTGGTGACGAATCATGGGTATATGGTTACGATATCGAAACCAAAGTCCAATCATCCCAATGGAAGAGCCCAAATAAGCCAAGACCGAAAAAAGCACGCCAAGTTCGATCAAACGTCAAAGTTTTGCTCACTGTTTTCTTCGATTACCATGGCGTGGTGCATCAGGAGTTCTTACCATATGGACGTACGGTCAATAAACAGTATTATCTTGAATTTATGCGACTTTTGCGAGAAGCAATACGAAGAAAACGCTTAGAATTGTGGAAAAACAATTCATGGCTTTTGCATCACGATAATGCCCCTTCTCACTCATCTTTGCTTGTGAAAGATTTTTTGGCCAAAAACAACATCACAATCATGCCTCAGCCACCATATTCACCGGATTTGGCGCCATGTGACTTTTTCTTATTCCCAAAACTAAAGAGACCTATGAAAGGACGGAGATTTGCAACGATTGAAGAGATAAAGACTGCATCGCTGGAAGAGCTCAAGGCTATACCGAAAAGTGCTTATGAGAAGTGCTTTGAGGATTGGAAAAACCGTTGTCATAAGTGTATTGTATTTGAGGGGGATTACTTTGAAGGGGACAACATAAATATTGATAAATAAATAAATATTTTTTCTTAAAAATACAAAGTCATCTTACTTTTTGAACACACCTCGTATGTACCACGCCAGTCCGATATTCGGTGCATTATTATTATTATCATTACAACAATTTTGCGCAAAGGAAAATACATATATTTCGTGATATTTTTGTAAATCAAAGTTATCTGTAATCAATATTTAAAAGTGAGAAGTAAAAATCCAAGTAAGAAGTAAAACCTAAACTACTAGACTCTTGTTAGAACGTCTTGAATGTAAATGTAATGAAAAAAATTGTATTAAAATTATTAATATTTTTGTTTCATAATATGTTTATTTATATTTATCATGATATTTAATGTTAAAAAAAATAAACCATGCCTTATATGCAAAATTTGTACCTAATTTATTCTATTATATTGGAATCTATTTTGTTATGAAAAAAAATTTCAATTACATATCATTATTCAGCAATATCTTGAAAAAAGATCAGATCTGATTTTGGGAGGATTATTTTCTAGTTTCCAGAGTTATTACGAAGAGATCTCCGTGGGTATTTTTTAGCTACATGTCAGGCAAACTTTTTTCCGAATACAGACATCATGCTTTGAACTAACTGAAGCAGCTTTTAAAAAAAATTATTCTTGTATGTTTTTAGATTAGTTTTAAACATATTTTAACTTTTTTGTGAGAAAATTAAAAAACTTTTTTTCAAATATAAAAATATCTTTATCAAAAAATGGCTTTACTCAATCCAGAGTACAGATCTTACTAACAAAAAGTATCTGTCCCTAATTAATTTCACAGGCCTGCAAGGTTTTGTTCTTTTGCAACTGAGGGTCATTTCCAAAGTAATTTTTGGCGTAGAATTCGAATCCGTCATCAGAATTTCTCCATCACGTCAGGTTTTTGAGTAATCGTCCCCTAAAGGTTGAAAAAACACGTTTTTTGGCCATATTCAAGGCTTGATTACATCGTGAGTTTATATTCTTTTCAAAAACGGTTGACGGCATCTTAAAGAAGCACTCTTACCCTTCAAAACCCATTTTTCAAATTTAAGATATCATTTTTTTTCATCAAGATAATGATTCTAGAATCATTATCCAAAAAATACTAAGAAATATATCGTATTCTTCCAGGACAATTGGCCGAACTTTTAAGCTCATGGTGAAACCTCAAAAATGGCAAATTTCCATTGATGATATCTTGATGAAAAAAAATGATATCTTAAATTTGAAAAATGGGTTTTGATGGGTAAGAGTGCTTCTTTAAGATGCCCTTAACCGTTTTTGAAAAGAATATAAACTCACGATGTAATCAAGCCTTGAATATGGCCAAAAAACGTGTTTTTTCGACCTTTAGGGGACGATTACTCAAAAACCTGACGTGATGAAGCAATTCTGACGACGGATTCTAATTTTACGCCAAAAATTACTTCGGAAATGACCGTAAGTTGTAAAATAACAGTGACGACTCTCTATTTTGCAGGCCTGTGTTTTTATTAGCTTTAATGTTCAGAAAAACATAGTAAAATATGATTGAGTTATTGATAGCAATGGAAAATAAAAATCTCAATTAGGGTTTCATCTAAAAACATTTGAATCCCAGGCGGAATTCCATATGCAATTCTACGTGGAGTTTTCCAGTCAGTGATTTCATACCCATTTGTTAACTGCCAATAATTACTAAGCTGAATTCGCTCGCCATTCTTTAGCCATGTGACAACAGGTGTGGGCTGACCATAGACCTCACATTCAAATTCAAGATCTTGATTTTCGATGGCCTCTTTATCTTGAGGACGTTTTATAAATCTAGGTGGTACTGTAAACAAAATGAAAATCGAAAAATAAAATTCCTTACATCCATATAGATTGTTAAAAAAAATACAGTTTTATTTACCTTCGACCGTGAGTTCGGCTATTGCGTCAAGACTGTCAATATCGTTCTTAGCTCGACATTGGTACAAACCTTTATCCTCTTCCGTCACATCTTTGATCATCAAACTTGAAGCTCCCACAGTTTCGTATCTATGAAAAAGTGAGTAAGTAAACATAGGACTATATTTTTTTCTTAAACATTAAATTACCTGGAATCGAGAGAAGCGAGATCAATAGAGACACCATCTTTAAGCCAAAAAACCTGTGGTTTAGGTTTGCCATTAGCCGCACATTCGAGTGTTGCACTGGACTTTTCTAAAACGCGTTGATTAGATGGTCTAGCAATGAATATAGGAGCACTTTCCATTTCTCCAGCTTCACTACTTTGAAGCGTTAATTGAGCTTTATTACTAAGCTGTGAGTGGCTAAATCTGCTAGCGTTGCACATGTATGAGCCAACATCGTGTGGCAAAGCTTCGAAAATCTCTAGAGCTCCTACGGTTCGGTGGCACGTATAGGTTTATGGTGAAGATAACCAGTTAATCAGCGATAAAGAAAAAATGCAAATATATACTTACCTGACGGCAGCACACTCATTCTACTCTCATCCAGCATAAGAGGCTGATCATCCTTTAGCCAGCTAATTTTCACATGTTTATTGCTGCCCGCAATTCTACAACTTAAATAAGCTATCTGCCCTGGGTAGACCATTATATCTTGTGGCTCACGGTCAAAGCTTTCTAAACCTGCAAGTAAACCCACACATATTAATTCCAAGCATATTCGAAATAATTTCTGCGAATAAGTAAGTGCTACCTACTACCGAGTTTAATTGTAGCAATCCTTGATGCAATGGCTCCAACATTCTCTATTGAAGCCAAACACTGATATTTTCCATTCGTCTCCGAATCAATTGACCTAATGAGTAACGACCCATTAGCTAGCTGAGTTCTGTAAATAATATGAATTTATCATTAATTTTATCAAGCGCATGCTTTAAAATACATGCACACACACACACGCGCGCGCACACACACACACACGCATACACACACACACAATGCACATAAATTTGCATTGTTAGATAATATTTTGAAAAAATTATGTTATTGACATAATGGTTTACGTTTGGTGATGGGAACGTTCATGAAGTCTACTACAATTTTTTCCTACTATTCTAATTTTTAGTCGTACGGTTTTCTAGGAATAGAAAATTCAGTGTTTCATTTTAATTTTCGTAACCCAATTTCTAGGAAAAAGTAGTACCAGTAAAATATATTTCAAATATAAGTTGTTCAACTTTCAAGTGGGCAGATTGCAGTGATCCTGAATTTGATTTTAGATGTCATTTCCAGGTCAACTGTTTCTTTTTAAAAACAGGAGCATTTTTTTTCACAGTAAATTTGGAAAAAACGGAAAATTGTACGTTAAGCTGGGGTAATTAGTTAGGTTTCAAATAGTTTCTAAACGCACATAGAGACTAGTATTATTTTATTTATTTTATCTTCGGTCCACATACATCAAATAAATCTATGACCATTATTTGAACCATGAAGCAGCGAAATCACTTTCATAAGGTCAATTAAGGTGATAGGTGACAACTCGCGTGAGTCGAGCGGCCTTAGACTCGGGCGGTAGTCAGGCTTTCGGGCACCCTGGCCCGTTGGCGCGTCAATAATGAAATCTCTGTTAATTATAATTCGACACTCGATATCGTTTTTGTATAATAAATAATTGAACGTTTATAACGTTTTTCGCTTATTTATAAAAAGGAAAAATGTAATAGCGATTTTCTTTAATATAGTGGGGAAGCATATGGATACACTTATAGGCGTTTATAATTATAATATTTATTCTAGTCTCTTTCACAACATAAATAAGTTAAGCAGAATAGATATATATATATATATATATATATATACACATATATATATATATATAAATTCTCAGACGCGTAATTTTCGCCTCGCGATGTCTATTATTTTTTTGGTTACACAAAAAGTATTACTCACTCTGTATTAATATTGTAAATATAAATTGGTCCAAAATATTATTCGCTTCGTGATGTGGCCAATCACTTTTTCTTTGAATCTGATCAGATCAACTGGTCCAATATATTTTTTTATACAATACTTTAGTAACACGCAAGAAAATGATAATTCCTATCATTTTCGTTGTCCAATATATTCTTTATCCAATAGTGTAGCAACACGCAAGAAAATGATAATTCCTATGATTTTCGTTTACACAAAATTATTAAAACAATTGTACTCGACACTTCTAATATTTAATCGCAATTCAAACAATTATATTCTCAAACTCTTATTATGGTTTTAACTTCAGTAGGAAAAATATTATTCGATAATATATAATTGTAACATAATAAGACGTCACGTAACATCCCTTCCCCCTTAGAATCGTTGCCGTCCTCGGTAACGTTTTGGGTCCAACTAGGATAGTACAAAATAAAATAATAATATACACAATAATGATAAATAATAGTAAGATAATATAAATGGTCCTCTTTATTCATATATGAACAAAATGATTAATGGAACAAGGCAAAAGCTCGTTAATTCGGTTCAATTGTTACTTGCGCAACGCAACTTGACGGTTATCGTGTCCGGCTGTTAAATCTAGTCCCTCTAAATCTAGCAGACAGGAAGCTTGATCCTGGAGTAACAAATCTTGGTCCTTTGGATTGGCTGAGGGAGTTTGCAAGAACAAGGTCAGCTTGTTTATATTATCAAAGGGGGACCCGCTCTAATCGTAGGTCCATAAATTACACTCTTGTAAATGTTGATCCCAATCGGAAAGGTACACTGGCCTTCCACAGAACCAATGCGTTCTCAGCACATTTCTGTTTTGGTATCGGCAAATGGTCCCATGTGCTTCCAATTCTGTCTTAGTAACGTAATGTCCGCAGGCACTATGATAAACATACATGGACCTGTTCCGGAGTTTGGCTGTGAGATGACGAGGTGGCGAATGTTTCGCTTTATAACGTTTATTTAGGTTACTTAATGCTGAAGTGACGCTCCAGCTAAATATGTATTTGATTACTCCCATAGGCCCGCAAGAGCCTTGCCATATTTTAATGTAATCTACCGGTCCAAATCGCGTGAAGTCGTCGTGGACCCGTTGTTCCGGCCATGGTTCATTTTGTTTATCTCGGTGTGGTATGAGGAAATGCAATATTCGATCGGCATCATCCTCCCTCACATAGGCCGGTGCGGTCGATCGTGGCGCGAACCCAATCGGGTTCGTTGTTTCATCTTCATCTTCCGAAGAGTGCTCATCTGAAATGTGAGATGACCATTCCCCTACGGTACACGGAAAGAATCGTAATACTGCCGCAACGTAATCATGCTCATGAAGAAATTGAATAATGGTTTCTCCATAATGTGAGGAGGATGGGCCTGCTACCGTTGTAGCAGATCGTACGGTCCCCACGGTACTAAATAGTTTGATGACCGCAGCTTCTTGTTGCGGGTCATCAAATTTGACTCGAATTGCGGTGGGGGAGTCGTCTACCGGTGCAACAGCTCGGAGGCGAATTCCGTTAATTTCTTCCATCCTAAGGTAAAAGTATGGTCCGGTTAGTTGCGTGATCAAGAGAAAGAAAAGTACATAGATTCGAGACTAGACATGGACAAGAGTAAAGAGATAGATCACAGATCAAAAGTTATGGGTCCACTAAATAACATAATAATAATACAATTGAAAGGGTCAATAAATTTTCCTATGACTTATAATTTATACAGCTGATTCGAAGTATATTCTATCTTCAGGGTCGATTTCTGTTATGGCCAATTCCATCTCAGATCATGCAGAGCTCCCCACACACCTGTCACCAAGCTACTCCAAAGTATTTTTTTATTGTTCTAGGTCAAAAATAAGAGGACCCGTATTTTTCTTTTTTCTCTCAGATGCATAGTTCCGTCAATAATGCAATCGGAAAATGCACTGCTGAAAAGGGAAAATTGAGAAAATTTTTCCAATTAAATTTGGTTTCCTCAATATTTTTTTTATTTTTCGATACAATTAAATAATTTTTATGTCATCTATAGTAGAAACGAAGTTCTTCAAGTCTAATTTATCAAAAATATGAATGTATGCATTTTTGGGAGAAAATGCATGTTTTCGAAAAAGTGCATCTTGGAGAAAAAATTGTGTATCTCAAAAAGGCCATAATTTTTTGCGCTCCAATTTTTTTTATATATTCTTAGTGCCAATACTTTCAAATCCATTCAAAATTTGCTGTTTTTTCGTTATATCGCTTAAAAAAATTAAAAAAAAAAGTTTTACATTTTCAAGTCAAACACGATAAATACATTCAGGAATTCATGTTAGCGACTATTTAAGTGAATTGAGAAGCAAATATTTCTGTATAAGTATGTACTTTATCAATAAAACATTGTTTCATTCGGTCATCTGTGTTTACGTACGTAGTTCATAAACACAGACGATCGAATATATAACCGAATAGAGACCGTGAAATATGTAAAATTTCACCGCTTTTATTTAGAATTCAGCGTTAGTTAAAAATCCAGTTCAAGGGAATCATTGGGTGAATAAACAGATTTCAATTTTCACTGCTGTTTGCTACATAGGCGGAATTACAAAGAGTTATACTGTAATTAGTGAAGACTTAAAACATGATTATTCTCATGCATTGGCAGCAATACAAATAATTCTTGAACATATAACTAGATACACACAAGAAACGTATGGAAATTCGATTGATTCTATAACTTTAGTATCTGATGGCGCTGCAAGTCATTTCAAAAATAGATTCCAGTTAAATGAATTTTTAAATGCAAGTATGAGTAAAAAATGGATATTCTCTGCTACTGGTCATGGAAAGGGTGCTGTAGATGGTATAGGTGGTTTGGTAAAGCATTATGCAACAGTGCATAATTTACGCAGTACTGAATCTGATGCTATTCAAACTGCTAAAAGTTTTGTTGAAAATGTATCAAAATACACAACTTCTATAGAGCTGATTTTGATGGAAACTGCAGAGATAAACAATTTTCGTAGTAGTCAAATGGAGCAAAGACACAAATGCCAGAAATATCAGGGTATTCAACGTTGCCATATGTGGAAATCTGTTGTCTCGGAAGGGAGGAGCGAATGTTTTATAGCTCGAACGGCTGCGCATCCATGGATTGAAGTGAAAAAAGATGAAAAAAAAAAGAAAAGTACTCATAAGAAGAAAAACGAAAATGTAAACAAGGGCAAGAAAGTGAAAGTTGTATCTAAAAAAGTGAAAAGAGTTGTAAAAGTAATCAACTCAAACAGAAAAAAATGATCGTGTAATTTTACATTTCTTGCAGACATGATTGAATAAAAGTGAGCTTTTTCTTTGAGTTACATGTTATTGTAGTTCAGTTATTAACCTACATAGTCGCTAACATGAATTCCTGAATGTATTTATCGCGTTTGACTTGAAAATGTAAAACTTTTTTTTTTTTAATTTTTTTAAGGGATATAACGAAAAAACAGCAAATTTTGATCGAATGGATTTGAAGGTATTGGTACTAAGAATATATAAAAAAAATTTGAGCGCAAAAAATTATGGCCTTTTTGAGATACACAATTTTTTCTCCAAGATGCACTTTTTCGAAAACATGCATTTTCTCCCGAAAAATGCATACATTCATATTTTTGATAAATTAGACTTGAAGAACTTCGTTTCTACTATAGATGACATAAAAATTATTTAATTGTATCGAAAAATAAAAAAAATATTGAGGAAACCAAATTTAATTGGAAAATTTTTCTCAATTTTCCCTTTTCAGCAGTGCATTTTCCGATTGCATTATTGACGGAACTATGCATCTGAGAGAAAAAAGAAAAATACGGGTCCTCTTATTTTTGACCTAGAACAATAAAAAAATACTTTGGACTAGCTTGGTGACAGGTGTGTGTGGAGCTCTGCATGATCT